GGTTCTAGCCAGCATTGTATTCCCGGCAAGGAACAAAAGTCTTCCTGTAAATATACCCGAGCTCCGGTAGGAAATTGGGAAATATACATTATTGAATGTCAAAACTTTAATTAATGCGTTGCACGTTGCCTCATCGTCCATTACCGCAAAGATTTCAGGTAGTGATTGATGCCCATTGTGTTTTAATGAGATGCTTGTTACTGATATTAAATGAGAACTCGTACAAAGAGGGTAGTACAAAAATTGTCCGATCCTTTATTGTTTTAAGGATATTGTAAATGTTCGAATTATTCGGAGCCACGATTAGTCGATTCTGAATTTCATTTGTGAGAAGTGAGGTGAACTTTTTTGTACGATTTGCAGAACTACCGATTTCTGTCCCGGTTGCTACAATTGGTATGGAGGAAAATGCGATGCTATTTAAATCACTACTAACATCTGGCAAAATCCTGGAGGTTAATTGTTATACGTATGTTGCACGGAACAAGTTTCCAACATTCATCGCAATGACTGTGCAGCAGAAAATTAAAGTTCAAGTAATGGGTCATTCCTTCTTGTCAGAATATTTTCCAATACCTTCTGACTGATCCATTAACTACCTCACTAGAATTAGGGAAATATACCAGGCCAACGAGTGCCTGGATATATCAATATTGAGTAGCATGTTTAGGCATAGTAATAGGAGAAAAAGGCAAACCCAGGTAGTGGAATCGAATGAACTTAGAAGAGCAAACCCGCTGGCTTCCTTATATTTGCTGAACAGTCCTTATTTGCAGATAGTTCCCAGCTGGAGTGATAAATCGTGGTGGGAGGAGAGACAATGTCTCAATATAATACTCGCCTAAGACTTCCGCCTCCAACCGCAGGTAAAATAAAGGCACACCACTACTTTTCAGTCGAGATGCGAGTGTGAAATTAAACTTACGGGCTAGTGTTGTTATTGCACATGTAAAAGGAGTGAGAGAGCCCCTGATTTTATAAATTCCACATATTTCGAAAGACTTATCCGTTTCACCGTTTTTTAGCTTTATTATTTGATTAACGTTAACAATGCTATTATGCATGTTTCAAAATCTACTTTGAAGCTGGATGTCCAAATTTCGCCGTGTGAAATCCTTATCGCACTCCAAGCCATTAGTATCCCAATCACCGAACACCAGATCAAAATTAGGTTCTGGTAGCAATATAGTAAGGATATTTCCGCGAATATACATTTCGTATATGTTAGCTGCAAGATTGTGGAACATATTAGCAAATCGAAGTTTTGTCGGCATAGGGAAATCTGCTGCTTCAGGGATTCCTACACGGATAAAGACATCATGAGGTTGTGGATTTTGAGACATTAGGTGTAATAGATCAGCGCTATTTGACACATGCAATTCCTCCTCTTCCTGCAAGTCAATGAATCCAATTCGGCAATTCTCCTTTGAAATTATATACCTCAGATTTTTCTGGAATAGTAAAAAATTCCGAAGGGTCCTGTTCTTACGTGCTTCTGATACTAATCGTAAATACGTTTTGATATCCTTAACCGACCGACTAAACATGAAGCGCGCGTCTGAAATCCAGAAACGTGGGTCGTCAAAGGGGTAACTTTTGCTGGTGAAAATATCTAGCATGCAACCGTTAAATGACTGCAGGAAATTATTATAGGTTCCAAATTCGTGAGAAGGATGCAAAAGTGTAAGAAATATTGGCAAAAATTTTAGAAACATTGCGAATGATGTTTTCCCAATGCAGGAGCGAAATGTATAAAGCCGATTGCGCGAGTACTCATCCCATAACTCATCCTTTAAGTATTGTCATTTGTAAATACCATTTAAAATGGCCACGTCAATAATGTTAGATGCCCAGGATAATTTCTGGTTAAGCCAACATTTTAGTTCAACAACAGCCTATTCATATTTAATCCATATAATTATGACCTCCATTTTTTCCAGCTCATAAATATATATCGCATGAATTTAAATTGTTGATGATAATTGTGATTGTAAGTGGTTGTATCAATCCAACATGGAATATCGCTAATTTAGTACGCCATAATGATAAATGCGTTTTAGTTCGATCGAATTGTATGGCCGTTATGTTCATAAAGATTTTCACAACTGGGTTTCAAATTTGTAATGTTTGTAGTAAAAATTTCAATGAATTTTCCTATATCTTCTCACGGACATGTGCACAAATACTAATACGATGTAGACGCGAAGTTTTTTAAGATTAATCTGCAATGTGGAAATACTCTCCATTCCCACACGGTAGAATTTTTACAGAAATTAAGATTTCTGAGATACTACGGCACTGCAGAGGTCGACGCCGACAAATTTTCGGCGGCGGCGGCGCTAGTTTTTGGTGATTTTTCGGCGGCGGCGCGGCGCGGCGTCGCAATGTTAAAGGAATAGGAAATCAAATTTTTCGGCGGCGGCGGCTCGGAAAAATCATCGGCGTATGGCGGCACGGCGGCGTGAGATCGGCGGCGTCGACCTCTGCGGCACTGCTAGTCTCAAAGTACACCGTCAGCATAACTTGAGGGAATTGGAAACTTACAATGTCGTAGTTTCTCAGAAATCTCAATTTCTGTAAAAGTTATACCGCGTACGAATGGAGAGTATGTGACTATCAGATTCTTAACAGTGTAGGCATAAAGTTTTATATACGTCACGCAGCGAAACATGAGAGGATATTGGGATCCCGAAAAAGTTATCTCATGTTCCTGCCAGCATTATTAAGTTGAGGGAAAGTTGAGTGATACATACATACATATTTACCACTCGGTATCTCAGATACGCTCCAACTTTCCTTCGGACAACAGAGTCTCATTTTACATGCTTTCCGTGTTCTTCCGTGGGATTTGATATTAAGAGTTAGAAAAATGGGGTTGCATAAATTTAATACTTTCATGGATGGTTCTACATTTTTATTCAACATATTCACGTCTTAACCAACTACATACATACCTATGTGGAACACCTAGACTCCTGGGGGCCCTTAAGCAAGGGACAAAAAAGGTGAGTAAAAATATTTAAGTATTTATATAAGTCTAAATGCAGTTAACAGGTTTCGGTCAGGTTTTAGCATTTCCGTTTTCACACGTCAATTACGTGTAAAAGACTGATATACATAAATACTAAATATTTAATTTTTGTCAAATAATTCCTTCTTTTTGACACAAAAATAGGTAAAAAGATGGTAAGAAAGTATGTAACGACCTGAACTGGAGCTATGAAACCCTACCCGTGCCATACACAAATCATCTCCTAAAGTAAAGTGGGTTTTTGTGTGGCGAAGAGAAAGTAATGAAATTCTCCCCGTACTTTCCTCACTCTCAGGATCAGTCATAACCAAGACCTTGTCCAGTAGAATGGTCACCTCTAACTCACAAATTCGAATTTTTCACACTTCAACCCACTCTACATTAACAATTTATTTTTTCGACCAATAAATACATCGCGTGTCAAGCTTTATATTTCACTCGGGTCTTGGCATCAAATCATAACTACATACGCTATAAATGGGGAACCATTTCCAGTAAATCAAGTCAAGAGTTTCATGAGTCTGAGGATTATTTATACGGTTTCCATTTCGTACTCACAATCAGTTCAACCAGGACAAATTGTGATTTGGTGGAAAATGACTACGCCCTTGTTGCCATGACAACTATAAATTACAATCGGTGGAAATGGGCCGTCTTTATCCTCTGTTGTCTCGGATTGTTGAAAGGATTTCGTCCCTCGGCCCGATCCTTGCTCGATTATGGCGTCGATCACTGCAATTTTAGCGTTGACCAGGTAAGTTACAGTTCTTAAACAAAAATAATTCCGTATATAAATGAAATAACTTAATACATATACCTTCACTTTAATTCCACAGATGATACATGAAGTGATCCCGGCCATCTGTCCAGCCCTTATTTACAGCCTCGTCATCCTCATCATTGTCACGGACGCGCTGAATTATAAACCCGTCATCGTTTTTGGCTCGATATGCTCCATCGTGACGTGGACGGTCACAATTTGGTTTTACGATGGGGTCCAGCTTGCCAGGGTGAGTATTTTGATCAGTAAATCAAACAGTTTCTTGCGCCTTTCCTTTTTTTCCCGTCAAAATATGTACCTATGCACATAAATATTTAGCTGCAAGAAATCGCTTTCTTACCCTTACTTCGTACAAATGCAACGGAAACCCTTATGTTAAATAAGCCAGGTTTCTAAACAAATGATACGTTTTAATTTTGTATTACTCTCCCGCTCACCTTTTTTCAGATTCGCCAATGGATTCACGGCATTAGCGTCGCCTCGACTGAAGTTGCTTACTTCACATACATGTACTCCATCACGGATAAGTCTGATTACAAACGGGTCACGGCCTACTGTCATAGTGCCGTCTCGTTGGGCCAATTCCTCTCCGGGATTAGCAACCAACTCCTTCTAACCTCTTATAAAATATTGGACTTACCCCAACTGAATTATTTATCTCTCGTGGCATCCTACGGTACCCTGTTTTTCGCCATTCTTCTCCCCAAAGTTTGGGATGTATCGGACGTCGAACATGCAGACGGGGAAGTCTATGCAATTCCACAGGGCATAAATCAGGTCAGCAAGATGGACCAGCATATTTTCAATAATTTCTCATCTCTGGGAATTTATTTTAAAATTCTGGACGACCAATTTGGCAAGTTAGAAATATGTGTAGTCAAGTTTTTGGGTGGTTAAGAATCATCCAAAAAAATTAAAACTTATCAAAAATAGCTTATCTTAAGTTATCAAAAACTCTAAATCAGCTTACGGGCGAAAAACTAGTAGTCCAGAATTATAAAATATATTTCTGAAGCGGCAGAATTATTAAAAATGTGTTGGCAAATCTACACTAGGGAATAAATCATGGAGGCGGGATGGACGAGATAAACGCAAAAAATTGCCAGGAGAGGGATTCGAACTCGAATCTTGCAGAGAAATCGCTCCTCCAGAAACTTCGTCAGGTTCCGAAACAATGTCGCCAAAATTTTTTGCATGCCTACTCGCACACTAAAATTATCAAGTGGTCGCTCTGGTATGCAACCGCGTTTGGTTTATTCGTCCAAGTCGACACTTACGTTCCTTCCTCGCTGTGGCGCTTAATTTCAAGTGAGACCGGGCAGAAGAAGTGGAACGGGGCAGTACACGCGGCGCAGGCATTGCTCAGTGTGGTGCTAGGTTTGTTTTTGGCTTCGGTAGGAAATAAGGTCAACTGGAAAAAATGGGGTAGTCTGATACTCGCGGGTGGAACACTGATTCAAAGCGGAGCGCTATTCTTTATGGCAGCCACGCAAGATTTGTACGCCGCGTATGGATGTTTCGTCCTGTTTACGGCGGTTTTTCAAGTTTTGGCTATTCTGGCAAAGTAAGTAAATTCTTCAATTTCAATAATAGTCTAAATAATTTCGACACAAGTCGTCATGGACGAAGCTAATAGGTTAAAACCGTCGGCTTAGTCTTTATGAATTATTATTTTGGCATTTTGTAATACCAAAAAATGATACAAATGGAATCTTTGCGAAAGCTTTGTGCCACTGATTTGTCTAAAAATTGTTTATGTAATAATTATTTGGGAACTTACTAAATTTCAGATCCATGGTAGCCGAATTCATCCGAGAAAGGAGTGAAGGCTTCATCCTGGGTTTAAATGGTCTCGCAGCCTGCATTATCTATGCGGCACTGACGCTCGTAATTTCCTCCAGATTCGGATTGCGACTCGGGATTCGTGACCAGATTTTATTCCTGTCCGGTTATGCGCTTGTTCTTGGAGTGGGATTATTTCTTTCGGGAGTCGGTTACAGGAAACGGGATGACAGAACTGGTCTGACACGTGGACAAATAAATGAGTCGCATGCAGCAAGTACTTAAAGATACTGGTGGTACATAAATTCAGTAGGTATCAAGTTTTGTTTTATCTTTATTACTAATTAAGATTGATTTGAACAGCTATGAACCTACATTCATACTTCTATGATAATGTACTAGACAAGAAGAATTTAGTAGTTTTTGTGGAAATGAAAATTGAATAGAAATAATAATCCTTAATATATTTACATATTTATTTAACATATTCATTGCAACTTTTCGTAAAATGTCATACTCTTTAAACCGTATGGCAAACTTTGGTATAAATAATTAAATAGGTGTAATGCTTCACGAAAAGAAATAGTTTGCTCGGTTATAGTACGTATGTAAGTCACCCCTACAAATCGGAATAGTCCCCTTTTGTAATCTCAACCCCGCTTATGTCCACATTTTCTCCCCCATTGTTTACTATTTGCAGGGCCTTACGCTCCTCAAATTGATGCCCACTCCCCTCCACCCTAAGTCTAACACCAAAATCCACATTTTTAAAATTATGTTCATTTCCCGCAATTTTCACCCTCTCACAAATAGAATTGGTTATTCTTGTATTTCTTGCCGAACTCTCCAATTCCAACCCCAAATCCCTTTTCCACCTCTGTAACCCTTCACATTTAAGGTTATCAAGGGTATTCCCTTCCCCATCGAGAATTCGCACTCCGACTGAGCTCGTACCTTGAGAACCCTTGCGATAGATGATATCGCTTAATACGCAACCATTTCCCTAATTTCAACACCACAAGCATAATTTAAAAAACGAACTGATTTGACATTATTGTTATGGCTGTTTTCAATCCATACTCCAGTGACAGAAACATTTGACATTTCCAGGTTTTCCATCTCCATGGCAAGAAACTCCACACGTGGTTCCGTCCACCATGATATCCGATAGTTTGTTATTCCGTTCCCGAATTAGCACACCTTTTGAACCACCCAGGAAAGCCAAGTTTCTTGCTGAATTTCCAGAGCCGATTATTTCCAGTCCGCCCCCTAGACGTGGAACGATGAAGCACAGGTCGCATATGACGCAGTTATCTCCGACCACGGATAGCAGGAAATTTTCATCACCCGTGGATAACGGATTTTGGAGAATTGTCAAAAATTTACCTGCGCCTTGTATCTTTACGGAGTGATCTAGCACGCTGAACTCTCCCTCGTATAAGCCTTCTCGTAGGATAATTACATCACCCGACTTGGTATTCTGTAAGCATTCCTGAAATTCTTTGGAATTCGATGTGACCCTATCTACTCCGATGTGAGAGCTGGATTGATGTTCGGATGATTCGAAATTTGGCGAGATTAAAGTTTTCTCTTCTTTTTCCACACTAGGTTCTTCTGATTCGACTAGTTGTGAAATCGTTGTGAAATCACAGTTGGTTATTGATTTTTGCAACTTGTCTGTAAGTAAATGGTTGGAGCTACATTTCGCTAGGACGTGATCTTGTCCGAAGAGTTCTAAACTTAAAGTAGCCTCTATGTCTTGCATGGAATGCCCTCTTCCGTATATCTTTCCCCTACCGAACCGACAATTCGAAAGTTTTACCCCGACGCCCGACGCTTTGTCACCAACAACCAGTCCGAAAGTGATCTTAGACCAGTCCGTTGCGTCACAACTCAAGTTGTCCACATAATTAGATGCTCCATCATCAATAAAAACGCCGAAAGTTGTCACCCCTGGGAGTTTGGGGACCTTGTTGCAGTACAGATTTCTTATTTGGTTACCGCTTCCTTTAATAAAAGCACCTATCCTGCAATTTCAAAAATGAGAAACATTATTATGGTCTGCTCTCAAATGGAGTGACCCATCCGCCATACCCACTATTTATTAGTCTTCAATTAAAAACCTCTCATTTTAAAAATAAAACCACGATTCGTATAAGTTTGAAGTTAGCGTCTTGCCGTCACGCTTTGCGGTTTTGCAGTGCAGTTTTGCAGTGCAGGTTTGCAGTGCAGTTTTGCACTTTGGTGACGCACAAAAAAATAGATTGTGAAATTTGGCAAAATTTAGGAAATTTTAGTTACAAATTTTAAAAGTTGTGATATTCTACCTAAGTGAACAATGGGGATTTGAATTGTATTTAAAGCATATAATTAGCATTCATCAACCAATTATATTTACATACCATATATTTGCGAAGACTGTTCCGCGACAAATTACACCACTGAACATGTTTCTCAAATCCTCATGATATAATTGTGTACAGAAAATCCTTATATCGCGTAGTATGTTACCGTCTCCATCGATATCAATACAGATCCACCCCCCACGGAAAAATACATTCCTGATAACATTGTTTGCACCGGTCACTCTCATCCCGGTCGTCTCTTTAAACGGAATTGAAAATTGCAGGTCTGATATCGTGCAGTCATTAGCCAGAATTGAAAGTCCAACTGTGTCAGTGTAAGAGACACAAGCTATAATGGTCCTGTCCCCAACTCCTTTTAGGGTTATGTTATTCTTAGTCATCGCAAACCCGCCAACATAAATTCCTTCCTCCAACTGTATCACGTCGCCGGAATTGCAACTTTTCAATATCTCTCGTAAATCGCGACCTCTCGAATATATCGAAAATTCGTTACCGTTGTTGCCCATGATGCAAGGAATACTGGCACCATCTGTTTGGCATGTCTTACCCTTGCACCTTTCCAACTGATGCTCATTTCCTGGTACGTTTGCGATTTTGAGAATATGCTCACAATTCACGTCTCGTAAGGTATGATTTTTTCCCTCAATTATTACTACGCAGCAATTACTCGAGCGTATTTCACAATTATGGCTCAACGCCGATATTAACAAACCGTGCCTAAAGGGGCTTGCGGCTGCCTCACTATTGCCATAACTGAACTGAAAATCGTCTATGAAGACTTTACTCCCAGAAATTCCGAATCCGGTCTCTGTTATATTTTCCATGGTAAATCCATTGAAACTATTTTGATCGCCTAGGACTTCTGCACCGTATCTTGAACTAGCTACTTTTACATCATCAAAGCTGTTTCCAGCACCAAAGATGTAACAACCAAAGTGACCACTTGTAACTGTCACGTTACGAAATGTGTTGGCGTCCCCTGACACATTAATTCCGGAAAACCCAAATCCTTCGACTGACACGTAGAAATCATGTAGAAAACAGCCATGCCCACTGACTACCAACGAAGCGTCTCCTTGACACCCTTTATACTTGATCACGCTCTTCTCACCCTGTCCCTTAATCGTAACACCTGTACGACTTACCTCAAAGTACCCACAGTATTCCACTTCAGCCAGGATTATTGTTTGCTGTGTCTCAAGACAAATCTGAAGTTCGACAGAATTGATTGGATAGATTTCGTAATCTTCAGTAATAGTAAAACTTATACCCCTAATTGATGCCAGTCTATGCTCCACGCTTCTTTTCGTTAAAGCCACAATTAAGCCCTCCATGTCTGGTAGTTCGGGAATCTGCACAACACTTGTGTCTTCTAAATCGACCAACTTCCTAAATAATACTTTCCTTTCACTCTACACAATTGGTTGAAATACTTCCCAAATAATAAGCCCTAACGAGTACAAATCTGCCTGAAAAGTATAATTCCCACTAGTAACCTCCGGTGCCATATAACTTGCTGTGCCGACACGGCTTAAATTTTTAACGACGCCATCCTGATCTGACCCCCATCTAAGTCACGACTCAAGCCAAGATCTGCGATTTTCACTGGAAGTACCCACTCCTCCGGGGATGAGGAGGAGAAGAAAATATTTTACATAGAATAGAATTTTACATTGAATTTTAATGGCAAATCTTGATAAAATAAGTACATTAATTTAACAAAGTAATGTGACATTGTAGGTTATATTAGTTCACCCCGAACATTTAGTTAAACCCAAAAAAACCCAAAAACCCAGTAGAACCCCAGGGTAGTTGTTTGCCACTTCAAACCCTAGGTTTTTCCAAACCCTGGCATCAGATAACTTCTAATTTTGCATGGTACGAAATCATGGAATGAATTCCTTATAACTAAATTATCTCAACAATTAACAACTAATTGGCTTTCAAAACTCTATCACATATGGTTCAAATTGTGAATTGAGGAATGATTGGTACAGCTCAGCGTCACACTGACATTTATATGACTGTTATTTATTTATATATATAACTATTATTTATATATAACTGACTGTTATTTATATATATTAAATTTAAATTCTGAATCTGTAAAAATCGCTCCTTTATGGGCCCGAAGTGGCCAGAAAGAAGGATTAATAAAACATACCATACCATACCATACATTATTAATGCCACGCGAGACGACTTTTATTTAAACTTTTTGTAACGACTCGTAGCGGAAACAATTGTTGTTTCATAAGAAATGGTTAAATTCGAGAGGAAGAGCAATTTAGCCTCGAAAAATTGTGGCTATGGGGAAAAAAACATTTCACGTTTCGGGAACTTTATTGATTTTCAAAAGTTTTTTGGTCCGATTCGTAAAATCTATTGTGACTTTGAGGGATTTGCCCTAAATATTTCAGGCAAATTTTAGATTTTAACATTTTCTTACCGAAAATTCTAATATTTCTCAATGTTAAATTAAGGATGTTTCAGGTTTTAGTTTATTTAGGGTTTTATTTTATTTAGGGTTTTATTTTCCCAGAAACCAGAAAGGCCCCGTATTTTACGTTTAGCTAAATAGCCAATTTTCGGTCCTGGAAATAACGGACTCTAAAAATGCTTAAAATTTCCCGGAAACTTACTAAATTTCCAAAAAATACTAGAAAAATCCCCGAAACTTTACCCCGAAATAGTAAATTTTGATATTTTGTTGTCAAAACGGGAATTGTTTTCGTTACACGACAAAAGATTAAATAAATAATAGTGATACATACTTAAATACGTACTGCTTGGTATTATTTGACAATTGTATATTTCTAAGAGCCCAAATCTTGGAAAACGTTGGATAAATATAACAAAATTGTTTTGTCTTCTTCTTTTAATTATTCTTTGTACAATAATTGTACACAACTTTTCAGATTTAAGTATTCGAAGTGTGTTTATCGCTTATTTTAATACTTTTCGCAGTTGTTAATCTGCATGAAAAACAATCATGCCAGTACTACGTAATAAAATAATGCATAATAAATGAAATTCCGTAACGCGGTACCCCATAATTTCTTAGGAAAAATTTGTTGATACGTTAGTTACGAGCTCTAACATACATATTTACTTAGGAGACCTTAGGAGTTGAGGATTGTATTTTTCGAATTAAATTTTCGTTAATAATAGGAGCAAAATTTCGATAATTATTAAAACAAGTTTATATAAGTTTTCCCTTAAAAAAGTTCACTGCTTACGTGACCCATCAACAATTTAAATACTGGTTTTAAACTTCTACGAAAAAATAAATACACTAAGCATCAAGGCATTTTTTTGCCTAAATGAATCAAATTGTATTTGCCTACGGGACTTACAATTTTTAAAATTGCTTTAAAACGTTCCATCACCAACTGTGTAATTTGCAAGCCAAATTTGAAACCTTGAAAAACAAATAATTTAGCAAATTACAGAGGAATTGAGCAAATCAATAGATGGGCTACCGCCCACTACGCATTTTGCATAGGAAAAAAATATTATAAAACATTCTTCAGTCCATACAAGACATCAATACAATCGGAAACATTCAAAAGTTCCCAAACATGGCGCAACAATCTTTAATCCTGTTTGACACTTTCCTGGCAATCTTATCTTTCCCGGGCGGATCGGCGGTAAGATTCGACTCGAGAAGAAACCTGTTCTATACAACGCGGCTAACAAAATTCAAAGCGTCTCTGGCGGGAACGTTGCTTTTTACACAATTCATTTCCAGCTCGGTCCAATGTCTTTTTATCGATCATGCTGAAACGTTCGAGTTCAACTTGTGCGTCGTAATAGTATTTTCGATAACTTTACCACTCACGGCGTATATTCCGCACATTTTTCAACCCTCGGAAATAGTACGTGTTTGCAATTTAACCTCAAATTATGCAGAGATGTTTAAACGTAAGTCGTTTTTGATGTACCGTAAAGACTCTATTTATAGCCGGGTCTAAAGACTACACAAATCCGACTACAATTTCAAACCGGGTATAATTAGAGACCCGGGTAAATTATTTTTCGGTTATGCATAACTTGAAGCATCTAAAAACCGACATTAAAGGAATGCCATAATTAGGGACAGGCTTATTAAATTTTTCAAAGTTGGGCTCAAGACCCGGCTATAAATAGAGTCTTTACGGTATTTACATAATTTCCCGTAATAATGTGTTTTGCTTATCGTACGAAAAACCTTCACCCTGTAAATTTGAAAAACTTTTAGGCAATTACGTATTAGTGGTGAAAAAAATTAAAAAATTAAAAACAACAATTCCAATATTAATAAACCGTTACGAATGGGTGAAACTAGGGACTTTATAAGATTTGTGAGTATGTATTTGCTTAAATTTTAACACTTGGTATCAGTTAGACGTTAACAAACAGTCGTTTAACACTTTCGTGGTCTCTCGAGGTCAAAATGAAGGTCACAAATGAATTAGGTGTTAAATTTCCTGATAGGCTGACATACTCGTACATACGCCACTTGACCTTCCCGTTACCTATTTATTTGACATGTGTGACCTACAGTGCTCATTTTCGGACTTTACCTTCGTTTTCTTTATGTTCCAAATTACAAGTAGATAAGTCAAAAGGATTTTGAGTTATCGAGCAGACAAACAGACAGACGAACGTATGCATCAATCTTACGAAAGGGTTTCAGTGAAACCTTTTCACCCCTTCATTATTAGCTGCTTGTTTGGTCGTACAAAAATGCCCTCAATTTGCACCTGACGCTAAAATCTGAGAGAATCAATATACATTTTATGCTTTAGAATTTTTAACTTGATCCAACTCTTAATCGATCTTCAAAATTAAAAATGTTTTGAACACTTTGAGGAATATATAATTTTCACTTTTTTTAAAATTTGACCGCATTAACCTGTTACCAATGTCAGAATGATCATACTTACCTTTAACCAATCAGGTAACTGGACACTAAAACAGAATGACAAAAGCAGAAATACCCTCTTCTATGTCTACCTCGTCATAGCAGTTGTCAGCACGTGGTACTATTTTGTGGGATCCTTTACCACATATTTCTGGGCGGAGTTGCCGATCGGTTGGACATTCCTAATTTCAAAACGGAGTAAACATTATCACACCGTTCTGGTCATGTTTATGGGCTCCGCTAGTTTTTGTTTATACATCACCGTGGCCGTGCTCGTAATTCTGGTTTATTTCTTCATCTGGATGTCAGGTAATCAGTTTTTTAACTTGTGAAATACCACGGTTTTTAAAAGGATGTGGGAAACTTGAGGGTTTTGCTATTAAAAACACATTCCCCAGGGTTTACCCAGGTTTCAGAGTTACAAGGGGAGTCAGTAGCTCGTTTGCAAAGTTGAGTAAAAATATATTTTCAAGTAAAATACTGAGGGTTAATTATCCTATTTTGGTCATTTTAAAAATTGACCCAAAACTGAACTGGACGTCAATGAATTT